AATGCTGCATTGTAGTTTCAGTAACTATATGACCTGTTGCATGTGTTTCCACTTCCTTTCAAGTGGTGAAAAAAGTGTATGTGAAAATGTGTATAACATAGTGATAACACTTTGTTTAACTACTAGCCTACAGTGCACTTATACCCCCTTCCTGCCCAGGCCAGTTTTTAGCTTTCAGCACTTTCGCACTTTTGGTCATGCAACACTGTACCCATATGAAATTTTTATCATTTTTTTTGAGACAGATAGAGCTTTCTTTTGGTGGTATTTAATCACCTCTGGGTTTTTTATTTTTTGCTAAACCAAAAACAACTGAAAATTTTGAAAAAAAACACTTTTTTTCTTAGTTTTTGTTATAAATTTTGTAAATAAGTGAGTTTTCTCCTTCACTGATGTGAACTAATGAGGCTGCAGTGATGGGCACTGATAGGCTGCACTGATGGGCACTGATAGGTGGCACTGATGGGCACTGATGAGGAGGAACTAGTAGGTGGCACTGATGGGCATTTACAGGCATCACTGATGGGCATTGAGAGGCAGCACTCATATATGGCACTGATAGGCGACATTGATAGGTGGCACTGATAGGCGGCACTGGCTGGCACTGATGGGCAATGATAGATGGCACTGAATGACAATGATAGGTGGCACTGACTGGCACTGATTGGCAGCACTGATTGGTGGCACTGACTGGCATTGATAAGTGTACTGATAGGTGACACTGAAAGGAAGCTCAGATGGGCACTGATATGTGGCATTGATGTGCACTGGTAGGCACTGATATGTGGCATTGATGTGCACTGGTAGGCACTGTCAGGTGGCATTGATGGGCATTGACAGGTGGCATTGATGGGCACTGACAGGTGGCACTTTTGGGGCCACACTGATCATGATGATCAGTGTACATGTCCCCTCCGAGGAATGCTGATTACCGGCTCTCCTTCCTCTCGAGCTGTCAGCATGACAGCTCGTGAAGAGAGAAATGCCGATAAACGGCATTCCCCTTTTACATGCGATCAGCTGTGATTTGACACAGCTGATCACATGACCGAGCCAACATGTTCGGCTGTTTCCGTCGATTGGTGATCCGATGTGTTCGAGGGACACAGCGCACCACCGATCGCCGCGCTGCGTGCCCCGGAGCCGTGCATGCGCGGTTAGAGTGGGAGGACGTCATATGAGAGAACCGCCTTGCACCTGTCATTACCTTATATGGCGGGCGGGAGGCGGTAAAGATACTATCTGAAATAGCACATAGCGCTTAGCAAATACAAGTTCCAGTTTCACACCCCTTCTACCACTAGATATGTGGAGATAGACATTAGACAGCTGTTGTCTAAAGTAATTTATGTCATGTTATTTGACTACAGATGATTTTATCTAATGTTTCAGTTCTTCTTACTTCAGACCCATTGCAAACATCCTTTTTAAAAACAGAGCTGCAAGGAACAGATAGATATTCATGCGAAATAGTGACTCCACCTGTCAGGGCTCCCAGGTATGACCAAAGGTGTGTGACTGACGCAGGGAAACGCAGACTTCAGATATGTGATAAACAATATAATTTATTAACACTAACCATACAAACATAAACGCAGTGCAATACTAAACACAAAATACAGTGCAAACAAACCCAACCAACCACCCACAGATAGCAGTACAAACAAGCAAGCGTCGTCAGGCAGGCCGGGTCAATATCAATTGGGCAGGTAGGTACAGGGGGAGCAAGCAGAGAATGGTCGGGGTCACAGGCCAGGTTCAGCAGGTAGCAAGCAGCGTAGTACAGAGGGTCAGGCAGAGGGATGGTCAGGGTCACAAGCCAGGGATCAGAGCAGGGAGAAGTCAGCAGCAGTTCAGATCAGGCAGGGTCAGCAAAGGGACAGAAACAGGATGCAGGACAGATACAGGGCCCAGGACAAACACAACACCAAGGCAGAGTCTGTGGGTCTGGCCATCCCTTAAATACCCCAGCATCATCAGTTCCAGGTGTTAGCTGGCTGAAAGGTTGAGTCTCTGATTGCTGGGAGCACCCGCTGGCCAGCCCCGGTACTGCAGATCAAAAGGCAGGTGAGTCCCACCATTGCTGGCCAGTCCATTCCTGACAGTACCCCCCCCCTCAAGGAGCGGCCTCAGGACGCTCCAAACAGTCCTAGCTGGCAAAATGTTCCACCGCCCGGGTCTGGTAACTGGGGGATATCAAAGACTGGCACACCGGGCAGGACTCCGGGCAGCGGCACACCGGGCTGGACTCCGGGCAGAGGCAAATCGGGCTGGACTCCGGCAGAGGCACATCGGGCTGGACTCCGGGCAGAGGCACACCGGGCTGGACTCCGGGCAGAGGCACACCGGGCTGGACTCCGGGCAGAGGCACACCGGGCTGGACTCCGGGCAGAGGCACATCGGGCAGGACTCCGGGCAGAGGCACATCGGGCAGAGGCACATCGGGCAGGACTCTCCGGGCAGAGGCAAATCGGGCTGGACACTCCGGCAGAGGCACATCGGGCTGGACTCCGGGCAGAGGCACACCGGGCTGGACTCCGGGCAGAGGCACACCGGGCTGGACTCCGGGCAGAGGCACACCGGGCTGGACTCCGGGCAGAGGCACATCGGGCAGGACTCCGGGCAGAGGCACATCGGGCAGGCACCCCGGGCAGGACTCCGGGCAGAGGCACATCGGGCAGGACTCCGGGCAGAGGCACACCGGGCAGAGGCACATCGGGCAGGACTCGCTGGGCAGAGGCACATCGGGCTGGACTCCGGGCAGAGGCAGCATCGGGCTGGACCGGGCGGCAGAGGCACATCGGGCCCACAGCGGCGGGACTCCGGGCAGAGGCAAACATCGGCCCCCGGCGGGCTGGGCACCGTCAACTCCGGGCAGAAGGCCCCACCGGGCGGAGCTCTCGGGCAGAGGCACACCGGGTATTGGACTCCGGGCAGCAGGCACATCGGGCAGGACTCCGGTCAGAGGCACATCGGGCAGGCACATCGGGCAGGACTCCGGGGCAGAGGCACATCGGGCAGGAGGCGGGGCGGGGCACGGGCCGGCAGCGGCACATCGGGCAGGGACTCCGGGCAGAGGCACATCGGGCAGGACTCCGGCAGAGGCACATCGGGCAGGACTCCGGGCAGAGGCACATCGGATTACCAGGCGGAAGCAGCAGGCCGCAGCGGGCCCCCCAGGAGAGCAGGCAGGCACCTCGGGCCCCCTGGGCGGAGCGGCAGGCACCGGGCCCCCAGGCGAGCGGCAGGTCACCGGGCCCTCGGGCGGGGCGCGACAGGCACCGGGCCCCCAGGCGGTGCGCAGCAGGCATCGGGCCCCCGGAGCAGCGACCGGCCACCGGGCCCCCAGGTGGCAGGCGGCAGGGTCACCGGGCCCCCGGGCGGAGCGGCTGGGCACCGGGGCCCCGGGCGAGCGGCGACGGGCACCGGGCCCCCCGGGCGGAGCGGCGGGCACCGGGCCCACTGGGGGGAGGAGGGCACCGGGCCCTCGGGCGGGGGGGGCGACCGGCACCGGGCCCCCGGGCGGGGCAGCAGGCACCGGGGCCCCAGGCGGAGCACAGGCACCGGGCCCCCGGGCGGGCAGCAGGCACCGGGCCCAGGCGGGGCGGAGCACGGGCAGGCCCCGGGCGGGGCGGACCAGGCATCGGGCCCCCGGGCGGGGCGACCGGCATCGGGCCCCCAGGGCGGGGCGGCGGGCATCGGGCCCCCAGGCGGGGCGACAGGCATCGTGCCCCCAGGCGGGGCGACAGGCATCATGCCCCCAGGCGGAGCGGCGGCGCCGGACCCCCCAGGCGGAGCGACAGGTCTCGGGCCCTCAGGCGGAGCGGCGGGGCGCCGGACCCCCAGATGGAGCGACAGGTCTCTCGGGCCCTCAGGCGGGAGCGGCGGGCGCCGGACCCCCAGGCGGAGCGACAGGTCTCGGGCCCTCAGGCGGAGCGGCGGGCGCCGGACCCCCGGGCAGAGCGACAGGTCTCGGCCCTCAGGCGGAGCGGCGGGCGCCGGACCCCCAGGGGGGGAGCGACAGGTCTCGGGCCCTCAGGCGGAGCGGCGGGCGCCGGACCCCCCAGATGGAGCGACAGGTCTCCGGCCCTCAGGCGGAGCGGCGGGCGCCGGACCCCCAGGTGGAGCGACAGGTCTCGGGCCCTCAGGCGGAGCGGCGGACGCCGGACCCCCAGGAGGAGCGACAGGTCTCGGGCCGTCAGGCGGAGCGGCGGGCGCCGGGACCCCCAGATGGAGCGACAGGTCTCGGGCCCTCAGGCGGAGCGGCGGGCGCCGGAACCCCCAGGTGGAGCGACAGGTCTCGGGCCCTCAGGCGGAGCGGCGGGGCGCCGGACCCCCAGGCGGAGCGACAGGTCTGGGCCCTCAGGCGGAGCGGCGGGAGGCGCCGGACCCCCAGGAGGAGCGACAGGTCTCGGGCCCTCAGGCGGAGCGGCGGGGCGCCGGACCCCCAGGCGGAGCGACAGGTCTCGGGCCCTCAAGCGGTCTCAGCGGCGAGGCGCCGGACCCCAGGCGGAGCGACAGGTCTGGCCCTTAGGCGGAACGACAGGTCTCAGGCCCCCAGGCGGGTCACCAGGCATAAGGTCGGGCTCACAGCGAGTCACTGCAGGCATCTGGCAGGTGTGGCTCCGAGTCAACTGGGATGACCGCGCTCTGGCACTGGGTCAGACATTGGATCGTCTGGCTGGACAGCGGGCATCGGGTCACCAGGCAGGTCATCAGGTCATTTGGCTCGACAGCGGGCACCGCGTCATCTGGCAAGGCAGTGGGCTCCGAGTCAACTGGTATGACCGCGGGCACTGGGTCAGACATTGGATCGTCTGACTGGACAGCGGGCACTGGGTCACCAGGCATCAGGTCATTTGGCTCGACAGCGGGCACCGCGTCATCTGGCAAGGCAGTGGGCTCCGAGTCAACAGGCACGACAGTGAGCACCGGGTCATCAGGTACCGGATTGTCTGGCTCGACAGCGGCATCGGGTCACCAGGTATGACAGCGGGCACTGGGTCACCAGGCATCAGGTCATTTGGCTTGTCAGCGGGCACCGCGTCATCTGGCAAGGCAGTGGGCACCGGGTCACCAGGCATTGGATCGTCTGGCTCGACAGCGGGCATCGGGTCACCAGGTATGACAGGGGCCCTGGGTCACCAGGCATCAGGTCATTTGGCTCGCCAGCGGGCAACGCGTCATCTGGCAAGGCAGTGGGCACCGAGTCACCAGGTGTACGACAGCGGGCTCTGAGTCAATTGGCACGACAGCGGGCACCGGATCAGGTACCGGATCGTCTTGGATCAACAGCGCGCATCGAGTCAACTGGCCCAATAGGATCGTCAGGCTGGATCAGTTCATCATGCTGGGTAGAGGCATCAGGCTGAATGCCGGCGTCCGGCTGAGTAGAGGCTTCAGGCCGAGTAGAGGCTTCAGGCCGAGTAGAGGCTTCAGGCCGAGTAGAGGCATCAGGCTGAAGAGAGAGGCATCAGGCTGAAGAGAGGCACCAGGCTGAACCACGGAAGGCAGGTTCTCAGACGGCAGGTTCACCGGTTTGGATACTGGCAGGATGGTATTGGTTGGAAAGAATTTTCGCTTTTTTCTGGTTTTAACCACTGGAGCACTGCAAGTAAACGCAGGTCTGCAATGAATGGAGCAGCTGGAGACAGAGAAGAGCTGGAGGATGGAACAGGAGAGGGAGCAGTTGCTACAGAGGGCTCTTTTTACAGGGTTAAAGGCAGGATAGGTGCAGCGAGTGGGAACAGGGTACTGACATGCGGTAGATAGCAGGGCAGGAGGAGCTGTTGGGAATGCAGGAATAGAGTTTTGAGGAAATAGATTAGAAGCAGGACTGGGTCTTTGTAAGCTGACTGAGGCTGGGTGCAACAAATCTGTCCATGTCTGCAGTAGGGGTTGAACAAAGCTGAGCTTACACAAAGCCTGTCTGGTCAATGACTGCACTGCGTTTATACAATCTCTTAGTGTCTGTGGTGAACATGTGGAATAACGCTCCAGAAAGTAACCCACATCATCCTCTAATAACCACACCAGGGACTCTACCTGGTCTGCACTAAATGGTGGCAAAAATTCATCCCTGCATTCGGGGGTACCAGATGAAACCAACTCAGCACAAACCTCAATCAATGGCTGCACCTCAGAGAACTCTGTGCCCTGATCTACTAGAACATGAGCAAGAGCCGTATACATTCTAGCAGTTCATCCCGGGGATACTCCTTCAGAGTTTTTTGATAAGCATACTCCCTGTCATCAAACACTAGCAGATATAAATACTCAACCTCATCAAGATCCATCCTTCCCATCAACAAGCCAAGATGGCTTCCCTGTGCAGCCACTTCTGGTCAGGATTGGCCTTGGTGTAATGTCAGGGCTCCCAGGTATGACCAGAGGTGTGTGACTGACGCAGGGAAACGCAGACTTCAGATATGTGATAAACAATATAATTTATTAACACTAACCATACAAACATAAAAACTAAACGCAGTGCAATAGTAAACATAATACAGTCAATATCAAAACAAACCCAATCAACCACCCACAGATAACAGTACAAACAAGCAAGCGTCGTCAGGCAGAAGTAAGGCCGGGTCAATATCAATTGGGCAGGTAGGTACAGGGGGAGCAAGCAGAGAATGGTCAGGGGGTCACAGGCCAGGTTCAGCAGGTAGCAAGCAGCGTAGTACAGAGGGTCAGGCAGAGGGATGGTCAGGGTCACAAGCCAGGGATCAGAGCAGGAGAAGTCAACAGCAGCAGTTCAGATCAGGCAGGGTCAGCAAAGGGACAGAAACAGGATGCAGGACAGATACAGGGCCCAGGACAAACACAACACCAAGGCAGAGTCTGTGGGTCTGGCCATCCCTTAAATACCCCAGCATCATCAGTTCCAGGTGTTAGCTGGCTGAAAGGTTGAGTCTCTGATTGCTGGGAGCACCCGCTGGCCAGCCCTGGTACTGCAGATCAAAAGGCAGGTGAGTCCCACCATTGCTGGCCAGTCCATTCCTGACACCACCTGCTGGCTGGAAAAGTAGTACAAATATTTCATGTGCTATATTTCATATTGCCTTTTGTAATTTTAAAAACTTTTTTAGTCCTGTACATAATAAAGAAATGATACACAAAGCCACACCTTCCCTTTATTGCTACCTCTACCTGAAAACCAATATTTTAACTAAGCTTTAAAGTAATTTTAAACCTACTTTTTAAAAAAAAAAAAAAACGTGGCGCATGCACAGCGATCCAAGACGGCGGATGCGTGAGAGGTGAGCTCCGTTACTCAGCTCCTGCAATACTCACAGACCCGGGAGAGCTCTCCCACAAATCGGGAAATTCCCAGGCACCTACATTCTTTGAGTAAAATCGGGCATTGGAGCTGCCCACACCTCCTCCTTCAGACCCCCTGCCTTCCATGCTGGATCGATTCTTCACTAGGCCCGCATCCTCGACCTCAAGTAGTTGCGGCGGTCCTGAGTGAGTGCTCCGGAGGGTCCGGCTTGTCTGACATGGATTGGCGGGGACAGACGTCCTGGCTGCCTTGCTTCCTACTCCAGTGGTCCCTTCTCTAATGGTGGATCCGTCCTTCTGGAGGACATGGAGGGGAAACTGCAAGTATTTTTACGCAATATCACCTGCACTATATCTGCTGAAATTTGGAAGCTGGCTCAGGAGCTTAGGGGGGAGATCACCCAATTGGGAGATAACACAGACCACCTTGAGTCAAAGTTTGATTAATTGGTACAATATATCCATGTCCTTGAAGAGGATAATGCGAATCTGAAACATTCCATGTTTCAGCTGCAGCTCTAGATCCAGCAGGAAGACCTGGAAAACACGGAGCGCTGTCAAAATATCCATTTCTGTGGCATGTCTGAAACGGTCCCTTACTCCCACCTTCAGCGTTATCTACTGTCTCTGTTTACCACTCTGGCCCCCAAAGTCCCAGATGTTGATTGGCGTTTGGATCGGGCCCATAGGTCACTGGGCCCGAAGTCTCCTAAGGGTACTCGGTCCAGAGATGTTAACATTCATTTTCACTACTTTGACAGCAAGGAAGCCTTTTTCTCTTCCACCCGTAACAAGTCTTCACTGGAATTTAAAGGAGACAGACTTCAAATTTTCAGTGATTTTTCACCCATCACCTTGACATAAAGGCGTGCCTTGAAGCCGGTCACCACTCATCTCCAGCAGCACTGCATCGCTTACAGGTGGGGATTCCCCTTCAAGCTAGTTGTCTCCAAAGATAATGCCCAAGTCGTCCTTCATGATCTGCATGAAGTGGACTCCTTTTTTAAACAGCTGGGACTTTCTCTCTTGCCAGAAGGGGCCTCTCTGCAACCTCCTACTCCATCCAGGTCCTCTGCTACTCCACGCAAGACCTGGACACCCGCTAAACCTGGTAAGAAGAGATTTCCTCGACTTCCTGGTTCGGTGGGCCCCACCACCTGGCTTTTTTTGCATATCAGATCTCCACCCTGTTAATTGAGCTCCTGTGCCCCCATGTGTGCCGTAGCAATTTTCCTAATTGTTGTGTCCTGATTCTAGCTGTTCTGTGTATTACTGAGGTAGGCACTTGCCGTTTCGGGTCAGCTGCCATGTTGCTCCCTTGTTCAGCCCTGACGACTCGGGATATTCCCAATATCCCGGTATATATATCTCTGATGATATCTTTGTTTCTGGCCGTAACCCCTACAGCCTCTGTTCTGAGTGATATATTTGTTTTTACTATGTCTGTTGCCATGTTAATCACCTGGTTCTCTATTTCTGTTCTCTTTTTTGCCTCATCGATGATAATTTTCCTGTATGCTCAGGTTACATAGCTGCTACACTTAATACTGTCTCATGATGGCTTTAAGACTGTTGTCATAGAATGTCAAAGGACTTAATTCAGTCCAAAAATGGTGGATGGCTCTGAAGGGGTTTAGATCCTCGGGAGCAGATATTCTCTTTATTCAGGAAACCCATTTCAAGCAGGATGGCTCCTTTTGCTTTGCCTCTAAGAGCTTCCCGCAATCTTACTTGGCTTTTGATCCCTCTGGGAAAGACGGAGTAGCTATTTTGATTCTGAAAAAACAGCTCCCTGAGTGTCTTCTCCTCTCGGGTTGACCCACTTGGTTGCTATGTCTTGCTGGAATGTATGTACGAGGGCTCTCCATTTGTACTTTTAAATTTGTATGCACCCAACTCTGGTCAGTTGTTATTTCTCACTCAAACCCTAGATAAATTGTATTCCCTATCTACTTCATGCATAATTGTTAGGGGGGATTTTGAACTCCTTAGCGGTCTGATTATGTCAGTATTTCTGTTCTCAAAGCAGTACATTTTTTTGCATGGAAACATGTAGTTTTTTTATTGTAGGCCTGTAATTTTTAGGAGTAACTCACTGAAATCTGTCCGAACAAGAGTCTAGTAAACATCCCGGGTATGATAAAATTTGAAACACGAAATCATAAATTATAATATAATAAATAATCCTAAAAAATAATAATATAATAATACATTTAATTCAATAATATAATCAAACCAAAAACACTGAAATTTGAAATATAGCGCCAAGTTCGCACATCACTGAGCAAAGTCGCAAAATCGTTTTTAGTGTCTGATGACGAATTTCCCCACAAATCATTATCACTCAATTCTGCAAGTGGTTCTAATTTACTATCGCTGTTCTTTAGCTGGTCTAAAACCGCTTTTGACCTAAAGGGATGCTTTTTGGACGCCATGGACATTTCTCAGTTTCCAGGCAGAAAGAACAGTAAATATGCAGGCAGGGCACAGGACAAAGTACTAGGGATAAAGTGTATGTGAAATGGTTTGATACAGTAATGTTTTACTATGTGATTTTAGTGTATTTGGTGAACGTCACTTTTTGACATTTTTACATTTCCTGCCAGTTCCGTCCTCGTACGTTCTAACATCGCAGGGAACGGAACCCGGAAGACAGATGCCGGCATCGGCTGGAGGACATTGCCAGGGATGCTGCAGTGGACATCGCAGGAGCGTAGGACAAGGTAAATGCAGAAGGGATCCCGGAGCAATGCTGCAGGGCATTCCCAAGTGTAGCTTGTGGTGCTGAAACTTTACCCCAAACTACACTCGGGAATACCTCCAGGGAGGTTAACCTGACTATGTCCCCTCACAAAGATAGGAAGGTACTTTTTGCACCCACACTGTAAGACGGGTGTCGGCAACCCGCGGCTCCAGAGCCGCATGCGGCTCTTTTTCATCTTTGCTGCGGCTCCGGAGCACACTGCCCACCAGGTGACAGGCAATAGGGTTTCAGTGGTCGGCAAGCCGCGGATCGCAAGCCACATGCGGCTCTTCTGTGTGCCGGGCGCCCGCTCCCCTCCCTCCTCTCGGGCGGCCGCCTCAAAAGTCAGGACTCTTTTAATCCGGCCCGCGGAGCATGGAACATTGGCTGTCAGGATGTAGGCGGGGCAGCCAGGATGTAGGCGGGGCAGCATGACGAACTCCTCTCCTCTCACAGTCCGCCCTGAAGACCGGAACACAGCGCGGGAACACAGCAAGAGGAACGCGCGGAGCAAAGGTAAGTGAATTGAGACCATATGGGGAATT